ACACTGCACGCACCCCATACTCCTTCAATGACTCGTCTTTCTCTTGGGTTTTTGGCTTCAAAGAAAGTTCGCTTTCTAATACTTCGCTATGCCGGGTTCTATACCCAAACATCACTTATACATATATTGCCCATAAGCCACATCTTATGAGTTCTCGCTATCGCTCGAATCCACCTATTCTTGGTTTTCTGTCTATTGTTCTTTTGGGTTATTCTCGTTGTCTCTTCGGGGTTTAACGTCTGATTTCCTTCTCTTCCTTCTCCCACACATACACGCATTGTACGCAAATTTTTGTATCTATATGTCAGTATTTCCTCCCTTGATAGCATTTCGCGAGCCCTCCACCGTCAGCCTTGGTGTAATCGGCAGCCGTGGGACGCCATGATGGTATGTACAGAGCTTCAGGAAATTCTGGCCTCGATTTCTTTTCAATCTTTCTTTTCTTCTTTTATTTGCAAATTTCATACCGCAACCTACAGTCAGTATCCATGAAGCTGGACATTTCAATGTCCGCCTTGTGTCAATGATACAACGAGTAGACACAACGGGTGCGCCTGGACACTACCGTCGGGGGCTTCTTCGTTTTATATAATAGACAGATGTCTTAATTTGATTTCTATATCCATAATTTAAATAGCCGCACACCCACAGCTGCGAGGAGCGAACCGGAGGTTGGCGACGAGCGACTCGCACAATCAATATAGGGACCACCGTTACCATTGTCCGAGATGTAAGAGATTGAGAGACATGCAGTGTTCAACCCGAAATTTAACAGGCTGAATTCAAGTTGAGAGATACAGAAAAAACCAAGCTGAAGCATTTCGATGACAATACGTGATTAGGCGCCCACCAGAGAACACCTTTGAAGGTAGTCCGAGTGAACCTTTTGGACCCGCCGGAAGTCGCTCGGTCCGTTGGAGTTCCCCTGCGCTACGGAGGAGGAGGCGAGGAGCCTCAAGCACTTACTTAAAATCAAATATTTTTTTAAAAAAAGACAGCGGACAATATTTC